CAAAAAATCGTGTCATATTCCTCTATCATAAAAAAATGTAAATACATGCTCTTTAGGAAGATCATGAACAAATGCTTATAGAAAAGTCGCGTTTATTGGTTCATTAAGAAGCGAACCTTTCGCCTTTAGTAAACGATACTATTCAAACTGCGTCTCAATTGTTTCATTAAGAAGCGAACTTTTCGCCTTTATTAAACGGTACTATTCAAACTCCGTCTCAACTTATGACTACTATTATCTCGCCTTGTATCTTCGGATTAAATCCAATGAGGTCTTGCTCTTATCCAAATGTATATTTTTAATTAGGTAGTTATCTAATTCATCCGCTATCTAGATGTACTTGATTCCTCCTATGTAATGTGATTAACGAAGAGATAATCTGCGATTGCAAAAAAAAGTTATTACGTCAATCTGTGTAATGCTTAATAGAGGCTCTGTATGGTGTTTAAATAATAGAAGATAATAGTCAAATACTACAGAAAAATGAGACAAACAAATCAAAAATAGAGATTAATTGGGTGCTTAAATATAAAGAATATGATTTAATTGGCAAAATAAGAGATAAATTGCCTAAACAAAATGAAGAATACAGAAATAAAGGACCCCATCCAAACCCTCTTAATACTACCAGAACTTACAATCTCGCAGCAGCAACATTTTGTTTATCTACTTTTAAACTGCAAACTGATGTTTGCTGAAAGGAAATCACTTTTCAATTCAACAAAACGTGGACCCATGTAGGGTTAGTCACTAATTTGCATTATGGTGAAAATATGTTTTGTTTTTACATTTAGAAACAATTACCACCTGGAAATGTAAACACCACTAATTACACACATTTAAGATACAGACCTGGAACTGACGCACGATCAATTAAACTTTCACCACCTAGTTAAACTTTTTTAAAATTAAAATCACGAAAAAAAGAAAAGGATGATACCAATTAACTAACATGGATAAACAAGTAAATAAACACAGAAGCAAATGTCCGTATCACACGTGGCCCTAACGAATGTTTTACCAGAAAATGTGTTATGTGCACTTAAATCCGTATCACGTGGTCCTAGCGAAGGTCGTACACGAAATATGTGTCATCTGTACCAAGGTTGTACCAGCAAAAATGTGTCATCCACACGTGGTCCCTTAAATCACTTAAATCCCAAAGGCAGATTTAGGGGGGCAGGCTGCCCGAGCCCCCTTTGTGGGAAAAATTTGGTTGATTATTTAGGAACCACTGGAGCGGGCCCCCTCTTATGGCAGTCAGTGCCCCCCCCCCCCCTTTATAAAAATTTCTGGACCTGCCTTTGAATCGGTAATCACACGTGGTTCAAACGAAAGTCGTACCAGGAAATGTGCCATGTGCACCTATAAATCGGTATCACACGTAATCGTGCGCTGTATTGTTCTACTCTCAAAGGGGAAATAATTTGTTTTAGTGTGCCAGTCCCAATTAAGGAATCTTAATTGACGATGGCTAACATTTTAATCTTTTTTGATGACTTAGAATTAATTAAGACTTTGCCGGAAGATTTTAACGGACACTATTTGTGTAGACTTGATAAAACGATTTTAATAGCGTGACATCTGGTAATACAATTGTCATCATTGAAAACATCTTCTAAAAAGTTCTTAGTATGTTGCTGTGCCACTGACGCTAAATCCAACATATTTATTTTTCACAATTACGAGAGTCAATGGCGACTGTTTTTCTGGTCAAGTTATTTTAGAATGGCAAAATGTGTCATTTGTCTATATGTTTGTTGTTATTGCTTATTATTATACATCATGTCAAAATGCCAGATTTTGATTGGTTAATACGAGGGAGACAATTTACTCTATCCCATGACAAATACTCTATTACCCTTCACGGCGACGCTTGCTCAAGTGTGCGCTTTAATAAATACGGATGATTGTTATGTACAAGACGACATAGTTTATTACTTTGAATTTGAAATTTAATAGACAGTAATAACAGAACATTTGGAATAATAAATTAAATAACACATATCTGAGAGAGTGAAAGAGCAGATTATTACCCCTCGAAAAGACGTTGTCAACCTTGGCTTCGCCTCAGTTGACAATGTTTTCTCGGGGTAACAATCTGCTCTATCACCCTCTCAGCTATGTGTTATTTACATAATGTTGGTACATTCGAATCTTGTTCATATATTTCTGAAGTCAAAATTCACCCGAAGAAGCAGAGAAGCATTGGCATAAACGAACAAATGCATAATCTCTCTTACTGTGCGTTTAAAATACCATTGGACATCAAAGAACGTTTAAAAAGATTGTTCAAATAAAGACCGATTAAGAAGTTCTTTGTTTCATTTGTGTATTTTTGTTAATTGGCATGTTTCAAAACTGTATTTCCCATCATAACGCAACTGTGATAAAAAGTTTTGTCAAATTAAAGTAGATACTCTATATCCCTCTACTGTTCACAAATGTCCAACGAAGATATGTGATTTTCAAAACGAAGTCGATCATGTTATATTAAGAGTCATGTCCTTAAATTTTTGAGAGTTAGATTTATAACTAACAATCATATTGTAAAGACACAAGGTCGTGTTTGTCTCATACTGCTTAGGACGTCCTTTTACTAAATCCAGTGGATGTGTACTGATTGACACTTAAGTCTATCAGAATATGATTTATTTATTAGCTGTAACTGGCTTTAAACTAGCTTTCAGTAACTGCGAGTACTCTCAGATCGCTTCTATTAATCTTTTGTGTTTATGTCTATTTTTCGGCTTAGTATCAATCAGGTTAGTTATTACGCAATTTCCAACTGATTTTTGCAGCTTGTTTTTATAATGTGCTATTATACCAATATTCCAGGTAAGGTTGATGGTTGAACGCTCATAAACATGTTTATACGCCGCTGCCATGTTTTTTATGTGCTTGTCCCATAATTCTTTTTTAGTGGTAAGCTCTGTCCTGCCTTTTTATTTTTCACTATATTCGGTCCTGCCTTTTTTTTATTATTTTATCCTGACTTTTTTGACAAAAATTGTCATCCTGCCTTTTTTTTTGCTAAGTTGCTCATCCTGCCTTTTTTTCAAATTTCATCCTAGCCCCCCCCCCCCCCCCCCCCCCCATAAAAATCAAATGGTAGCTCCCTTACAGTGATATGGTATTGGTTTTGCTTACATCTACGTCATTTGGTCTCTTGTGGATTGTTGTCTTATTGGCAATCGCTCTACAGCATCGTATAAATATATATATGTATACTGTTATTAGTGTAATCACACTAATGACATTGTGCTATAATCAGCTTGCATACTTGAAGAGTAATTAGTAGAATGCGTGTTATGTAACATTTTGTATCTAATAGGTATTTTACAATTTCTCTTGGTGAAAAGTAATAATAATAAAACGATAATTAAAGCCAAAATAATATGGGACGTACATATTTTTTGGTAAAGAAAAGAAACCATAACCGTTAAAACATATGAAAACCAAACCATAAATTCGTTATACCCTCGTTGGACAAGAGTGCAATAGATTTATGTCGATCTTTAATCGAATATTGTACTTTCAATGGTATATCTAAATGCTTTGTATATTTCGAACAAGTCTATATCGTTTGTTTCATTACTACCAAAACAAACACGTATCAATGTAGGTATCTCGATATCAGCAGCTTCAATGAGCGATTGTGTCTAACAAATATTTACAAATGTTCAATAGATTTTTTTAGCCCTGATCAATCCGATGCATCGTTTTCAGCAGGTAAAGAATCAAATCTAACCATCAACTCTAAAGGGTCCTATAGGCGGCGTGTAGCAAAGACTTTTTTTTACTCGCCCAACCCCTCATTTTCATTCTCTATCCTAAAGAGTAGAAACAACACAAACATTGAACAATTAAAAAAGTCACAAAAACATTGAAAACTAAGGAAAAACAAGACAAACCACTTCGAAACAAAGTTAAGGGTAAAAACAGATGATCACGAATGATAATCAGTTCCTGCTCTACTTGTGTCATCCGTTCTGTTACACATGTCAACTAAACACGCGGTGACCAGAACCATTCGGGAATGTCTCAATCGACGAAAAGAGGACGAGAATGTGAGTAAGACAAATGGAACATATCTGTGTCCCAGATATTTAAATACGGTCAACCAAATCATGATTGTGAATGTTAAACTTTCGAAAGTGTGTCTCAGATATTCCTTTACGGCCAATCACATCGTGTTAAACTTTCGAAGGGACGACTTCAACTTAACAAGTAGGAAGCTTGGTTCAATAGCTTCCTTGTAATTAACAAACGTTTGTAACGGATATCATGATAAGAAACTCAAGCCTTGAAATAATTTTCGTCCAGAATATGTACTAATCTTTCACTACCGTAATTTAACCAATTATCGATCAAAAGGACTGACTGTTTCCCGTCCATGCTCCCGATTGGGTCTAGACAGTTTTTTGAAAAATGAGATGTATCTAAGAGAAATGAAAATAACTTTATAATTTCGTGCGTCCTAAGTACTTTTTCCGATTTACCTTAATCAGGGACGTTAAAACCAAGACATTTGAAAGTCAGGGATGTATAAATACGTATCAGAGACATGTATAGTACCTTACTATACATGTCTCTCTGTACGTCTTAACGTTTGGGGCTATCTATTAGCACAAGGGACCTTAAAAAGAATAACAAAATCCATCTAAGGTCAACCTTACATGAGGGAGTTCGAACCTTAGGTTCTTTATAATTTTTTGTTTTGTCAACGGGGAAAGTAAGTAAGTTAGTTTCTGTCAAGTTTTTCTCCCCGCTCTCCAAAAATTCACATTACAATAACTATCTCATTGAGTAGTGGCCTTTTTGCCTATATCATTCTCGCGCTAATTAGAATTATAAGTAAGCATACATAATTTCCCACTCCACCTTTCGTCAGTCATAACTTATTTTAACCAGTCTTGTCTACATTTTATTTGTAAACAAAAATACACATTTTACGTACATGCGAAGACTATTTTTAAGCTATGGCATTGATTGACAGGCCAAACACCGCCTTATCTTAGGATAAGTATTTCTTAATGACACATACAGTTAGTTATACAGATTAAGGTGTCAGTCGAGAATTTAAACACTTTATATATCAAATTGTTCAGGTAAGTTTTTATACTTTATAAAGTATACTTTTTTAAAGATCATAGACACTGTTTCCATTTTGAATGAAATATTTATTTTTTACTCTTTAAAATCTACATCAAATTTTCAAATTTGAATTTCATTAGCTACAAATGTCATATTTGTTATTTTAAGTCTTTGATATTTTTAAAGTTAATTGAAGAAATGACTTTCTTTAGATTTAGAATTCAAAACTCGTCACCGTATGTGTCTAATGCTGGTAACTGGAAATTAAGTCATTAATAACAAAATTCAATGATAGTCGAATGAAAATGGTCCATACGATTAGATTGACAAATGGACAAGTGAAAAATAGGTTCTACTTTATAAAGAAATATTTTTAACGGAGGACAAGTCTACGTCACATTTCAATATCAAATCATCCACAAGTGTTTCATTCATTTCAAACCCCTATAATTCTTGTTCTTTTACTGGTCACTGGGAATTAAGTAAAAAATAACAAAATCAATGATAGTCGAATACAATGGTCAATACGATTAGAATGACAACTGGACAAGTGAAAAATAGGTTGAAATTTATAAAGAAATATTTTTTACGGAGATCATACGATTAGAATGACAAATGGACAAGTGAAAAATAGTTTATACTTTATAAAGACATATTTTTAACGGAGGACAAGTCTACATCAAATCATCCATAACTGTTTCATTTATTTTAAACCTTTATAATTCCTTGCTTTTTTTAAGAATGTAACTTCTTTGCTCTTTGAATTAAAAACTTTTTCAAGAATATGCCTCTAATATTGATTACTGTAAGTTCATAAGAACACAAACCGTCGTTTTAAAAAGGTCATTACGACAAGTTCGATAAACAGACATGAGGAATTATTTGTCCCATCTTATTCATTTTCATACAAAGAGTAAGACTTTTACAAGTATCCGTCCAAACGTTGGCTAGCCACGGTCTCCCTTTTTCAAAATTCTAAATCCGCAACAGGAAAGTACTTTTGTTTTCGTTTGAAACAAAAGATGATGTATTTTATAATGGCGAATCTGCATGAGTTAAGAGTACATGTATGGTCAGTAATTTATGTCTCTCTAGTCTATCTAGTTGATAAATATGCTTTGTCATCTCGATGTTGTCATGTCGGTGTATTAAATAAAAGTAATGTAAAGTGACAAATACTTAAATGAGATACTTATCTTTGACTAATAGGATAAAAACATAATAATAAGATACACATGCACTTGAAACTAATGTGTCATACTTCAGTTTTTGTTCTTCCACCTTGTAAATCTCACCCATGCAATACTGAATATATAGTTTTATATATTCTTGATTCACCATGTAGCACTCGGTCTCAATTTATTGATTTTTGTCAACGTTCAGCGACCAATATTACAAGTAAAAAATTCATGGAGACATTGAAACGTTATGTAGACATGTTTTCCACATCCTTTATTTAAACTCGGTAAAAGAACTGAGTGTGTTTGCTGCTGTCGAAAATTTTCCAATCTCTAGACCGAAAAATTATCGCGTGCAATAATATTAAAAGCATATTCACGAGGAAAGAATATCAAAGGCTTTCAAGAGGAGCCAGTAGCTTCAGTAACTTTGAGTACTCTCATATATGTACGTTGTGTCTTTTGTGTTTTGTTAGAGGTTTTATGTGCTTTGTATCGATCTGATGAGTTAAGCCCTTTTCAACTGATCTTTAAAGTTTGTTCTTATGGTATACTGTTACACCACTGTCCCAGGTTAGGGGAGGTTGTGGCACCAACAAAAATGTTTAACATCGCCACATTCGGTATGTGCCTGTCCCAAGTCAGGAGCCTGACATTCAATGGTTTTCGTTTGTTGCAGTATATCATATTTGCTTTTCATTTACTGCTTCGTACATAAATTATGCCGTTATTTTTCTCGTTTGAGTTGTTTTGCATTTTATAAATTATGGGGCCTTTTTATAGCTTACAATGCGGTATTGGTTTTGCTCCTGGTTGAAGGCCATACGGTTGCCTGTAGTTGTTAACTTCTACAATGTATGTCATTTGGTCTCTGGTTGAGAGTTGTCTCATTGGCAATCATACCACATCTTTTTACTTTTATAACTAAGGACATGTATGGACCGGTCGATTAATGGTTATGATGATGAATGTTTAACGTACATTGGGAAGTTAAATGCATTTTCAGAAGAGGAACATGTTGATGGCCTTTTCTCGATCGCGTCGAACCAAATATTTTGAAGTAGATATATCTGTTACTTTACTGCTAATTATTGAGCATAATAGGAGTTAGAGCCTATATAAAAAATAAGGAGATGAGGTATGATTGCCAATGAGACAACTATCCACCATAGTTCAATTAAAGTGGATGTAAGCAGTTATAGGCAACCGTACGGCCTTCAACAATGAGAAAAACCCATACCGTATAGTCGGCTATAAAAGGCCCCGACATGAAAAATATGAAACAATTCAACCCTGCTTGATTCACAGTCAAAATATTGTGTCACATTGTGAGCTAACAAGTAAAAATAAGATTCATACGTAATTTGTATGAATATTCAGATGACAAAAGCATGTTATCGTCCATAATATACATGTACAATGTAATATTTTAAGCTGGACATTTAACACCAGCTAGTATCAGACAATAATAGCTTTATTAGAAGAGTTTGTGACTTGAAAAGTCCTTTCATTTGCACATAGTGAAAAAAACAAACATTATTTGATTATCTTGGACCCAATGACCGTTGAATGCATGTTGTATCTTCTTTCTGTTAGACCGTCGCTGCATGTTGCATTAAGTCTATAGTTTGTGGTTATGTGTAAATTTAATTTGAAATTGATAATAAAGGCAGAACTGTGTCGCTCCGTGCATTCGAAATTTTAATAGCGGACAATTTCTGCAAAGTCTGGATTGCATAAAAGACCCATTGTCACTAAGAATGAATACAATTTTAATTCCAATTGTCAAATTGTGTTAAAACGGAAGTGCATTCTTATTATTTCTTATCCTATTTTGTGTCTGCTTGAATTAAGTGCAGACAATTTACACGAATTAGATCTTTAAACTAACTTAATTGGCTTATTGCAATTTTTATATTGAGATTTTGGTTCATATAAAAGTAGATTATTTGAATATTTTATGTCAGGATATTTGTAACAAAGACACCTTATAAGTGTCCTCTTCGAGGTCCGCGTGAAAAATGTGTTTTGCACAATCATATCTATGGAAAATTTAAATTGATGTTAAAGCGCCTGTATCTTGCTTTTGATCATTTAAAAAAAAAAAGAAATTCATATATATGTTATGTCACTCAATAGTCAAATTACATCTTGTTATTTATCGATGTCCTCCTTAGAAGTGTTTTTATGTTTTTTTCCGTTAAGAAAGATCGCCGTACTGAACCCTGTCATTGTGAAAACTCTTCCGTAGCTGCAGATCTCAGCTGCAGATGCAATGATGGCTGTCGTATACTTTAGTCTTATTTAAATAGACCATTAGGTTGTCGATTTTTTAAACTCTTATGGAACTCTCATTGCAGTCTACTGCTATAATGCTTAAATTTTGACTCTAACCAACATGTTTCATTCTGTAGAAACAGTTAAAGTTATTCGTACACCATTTCCAGATCCGAATGTTTTCTTCTTTTTAAACGCATCTCTTATATCGGGCACTGACTGTTGCCGTCCTAACAACATCAGCTTAATAATCAACTTGATATTTTTAAAATTTATTTTCAAGTTTAAATAGCAGTGAACACTTAACTTTCGAGGAGAAATTTAAATACATTAAACCGGGTTGAAAGGTAGTAGGGTAGTTAAGGGGTGCGGGCGCCATCTTGATACGTAAAATAGCAGAAAACAAAAGGTCTAGAATACGTATTACTTTTCATTTAAAGAACAAAGGTATTTGATTTTATCTTATTATAACGACTGTTTTGACAATTACCGAAGACGCTTTTATAGATTATAAAAAAAAAAACACCAAAAAACTTTAGCCTTATAAGGGAAGATAATTCATATAGTTAATTTTATTAAAGGAAAGTACAGTCATTTTCTATTTGTATCATAGCAAGAAACAGAACGGTGATCCCATTTGTACAACAAAATGATAACAAAACAATCATTCAAACTTAAATCATGACTATTCAATGGTGATTTTAGACTGTTTGTAGCGTGTTGATATGCCATTCCGTTTAATAATAATGACAACACTGTGTTAACTATTTACATCATTTACAGTTCTGACATCTTGACGTGTAGTACGATATTTGTCGGGTCATGTCAGGTTTGTTAAACTAACGGCTTTTCTGTGTCGAGAAGCTTGACTTATTTCAAATTTCGTAAACCGTTAAAGAAAAAAAAAATAGATTTCCAAACTATGATATTTATTTTAGGATTTATTTAAATGATTTTGTTTGAATGGAAGATCAAAAGGTTAGGGTTCAATCTTTCAAATCAAAGACGGTAAAATTTGCATTTGTGCTGCATTTCATTGTCCTGTGTTGGAAATATAAGAGCAAAGACTGGTCACATTGGAGTCGCGATCATACGGTGACTTTTTCACCTGCGGATAGTTAAGCTAGTAAGTCAGGCAAAACACGAAGTGTCATTGCATTTAACAAGAAGAAACTAAGCAGGATACTTGTCCCATATTTTCATGAGTAAAAGAAATTTCCGTGGGGTATGCTTCTTTTTATTTCATACTATCGAAGATCTCATGTAGAGAATGCCACGCTTCATAAACGTTGTATTACTCTTTGCGGGGTCCGTATAGGTGGCCTGTTGCAACTGAGGCAAAATTTTGTACCATTGTTTGCAAGTGGCAGTCCAAATTTTCCATCCTTCATCCCAGTCGTATTTTGTCACAGAACCTACCTGTCATATTTTAATTGCTAATAGTTTCTCGAATATCCTGAATATGCTCCATATTTCTAGCTAAAAGTCACGTGTCCCCTATATATAGGTACCTGACATACGACGGGTTTAGACTTTTTTTTTATATCTCAATCCTCTCCTGTTTTATGTGTTGCTACCCGTACCTATGCAGTACATTATCATTCATAAACCAAACAATTTGGTTTTTTTTGCGGCTGTGATCTAATACCAGTCGTGGTATTACGTATTCATTAACAATTTATACGTTTAAATGAGTAATATAAATGTTCATGTCTGTAACTTTTTCACAGTAGTACAGTGTTTTTTCAGGTGTGGCGTAAAGGTCGTACTAATCCCCCTTTAATTGGAAAAGTACCCTTTTGAAATCGTCCAAATATTTTTTCATATACCATCGCTATGTTCGGCACTTATTATACGGACAATTACGTCCCCCTTCCTCAAATCCTGGATCAACCCCTGCTGAGTAGTATGTCTAGCCCTTGTACTGTTTTTTTTAAAGACCAGTTGCATTATTTTCTTAAAGGGAAACGTTTTAAATAAACTATTTGGCTTATATTCTATATGTACTAAATGCTTAGCACAATCTTTCCTCAATATATCATAAAAGTGGTATAATTATGCAATCTGTACTACAGGGTGGCTATTTTTAAAACAATTTTCTTGTGTGCAAAAATAATAAAATTGTTTATTGATATGCGAAAATATACATTTTTATTATCGTGAATATTCACAACTGATCGATAAAGGCTATTGAAACTCCCATGAAAGACTCGAAGAAATAAATTTTATTGGAAATTTTAAGTATATCAATAATTCAGGTAGGTTGTTTTATAACTCACACAAAACCCATGACGGTAAGAATTAAAGTATTATCGGTGTATTGGGAGAGCATTAAAATTGAAATGTATTACAACAGAACGCGTAATTAATCTATGGACAAAAAATGTCGCTCAGACGAACACCACAGGTATTCAGATGTACCCGACGTACCCTGATAATTCGTATGGGAAAATATAAAATATGCGCATCATCTAACAAGGTTGTTTAGGTTTTTTTTATATTTTATTATCGGTTCAAGGTATTAAACTTTTTAAATGTTATGCATAAATCAGTAACTTTAGAAAGGTTATTTTTACATTGTACGTCTGTAACTTATGTTTTGAACTTTCGTTTAAATTTTTTCATAACATATAAAGAGATATAGATGTTTCAAATCCAGGGAGGATATTGGAGAGCACTTTAGCGTGCACATGATAATTTATCTTCAACAGGTTATATATGGTAACATAAAACATTTCATGTCACAAAAAATTTATGTTTGGACACATGTAGTTAATTCTTAGTTCTTTTATTTTAATTTTAGAGAGACAATCAGAGACATTGAATAACACAAGAAATTTTAATATATTCTTTTTTTTATCTTGAAATAGTTATGAATGGAGGCAAAATTTATATTTGTAAATACTTTTTGCTATTCGTCAGTAGAAAATATCAATATAAACTTTGTCAACATTTTCATTAACATTTTTTAAAAATATTTTTGAAATGAAGCAAATTTATGTTTTATTTAAAAACTTGTCTCTAATTGAGTTTGATACGAATAGCTAAACATGAATTTGGTGTTGTCTTTTCATATTTCTTATATGTTCGGCTTTACATGTACTGATAACTTGGATATTATTAAAATATCGGTGTTTTTCAAAGGTGCAATATTTGATTAAATATTGAAAAATTAATGCACGTTGAGTAATTATAACTCTGACAACTTGGCATGTCAATATTATTGCTCTTGTTTCATTCTTTCGTACATGTTTTTACATTTCTTTTCATGTCGATATCGATCAAAATTCTTGTTTTAGTTTTAAGGACAATAAACTTTAAAGAATTTCAAAAATAACATTGCAATTGTTTTTACAACATAAAAAAAGATATGAGAAAAGAGTTTTAAACAAAATATAACATTTGTCGAATATTACTTGTTTCTCATGTTGTGTTTCAACTTTCTTTTGACAGGTGGAAAATATCTTTAAGATAATTATACAGTTCTGAAACGATATTATGTAACTCTCATAGCAGAAAAACGAAATCAGTGTTTACATGCACCTGATATTTCAAACGTGTGTCAGTGTGTATACACGACTTCAAGCTGGGAATTTAAACGAAAGCGCACATAACATTGAATGGCAAAGGATTTAAAAGCATGAAGTCCTTAAGTCATTTATTTCATACAAAACCATCGATTTGGAATAACTATGAATATATTTAAAATTTAAGTGAAAATCCTTCATTCATTATTCGAAACTACATTGGATTTATAAAAGGAAAGATGAGATTTCTCCCCGTATTATGTGCATTTGTCTCTGTGCAGGCGAGTTTTTATGACTACAAATACGGCGACGGCTACGTCAGCGACGGCGAAAAACCGACGGCATGGCAAGGAACTTTATTGAGTGGACGAATGAGTCAGCCAAAATGTATAGATATTCCGAGGAATTTAACATTATGTCAAAATATTGGATACGACCAAATGAGGCTCCCAAATCTACTAGACCATGATTCCATTAATGAGGTTATTCAACAGTCCAGATCTTGGATATCGCTATTAGGAGTACATTGTCATCCCGACACCAAATTATTTTTATGTTCCCTGTTTTCCCCTGTCTGTTTGGAGAGAGATAGGGAGATTTATCCCTGTCGGTCATTATGTGAAAGTGTGCGCGATGGTTGTGAGACTATAATGAAGGCTTATTCATATAAATGGCCGGATATGGTACGGTGTGACAAATTTCCGGACGATACGGAAATGTGTATTCCAGGCCAATCGACGGCGATGCCCCCAAGTAGGTATAACAAACGTACGTACTTTTCTTGCTTTATTTGTTTGTTATGTCTTTTTTGCTTATTTTCTCTTACCAAATCCGAATAACTTTTTTTTTCGTAACACACTCAATAAAAAGTAGTCTCCCCCTTTTCTTTACAATCAGTGCCATGAAAATAGTGAATGTTAAAAAAATGAAATAGAAAAAACATACGGAAAAATCCACTGGATACGTACATAATGGATTAAATACTTGAATAGGTATGATCTTAATTACCAAGAATTGCCAGTTTCACGTTGTTATATTTTGCAATAAAGATTATTAAAAAATACAATCTCATTTTTTTAACATTGTGTAATACTAGTTCACATGTTTAAAGAATCAAATAAACAAGAAAAAAAAAATGAGAATCTATTTAATTTTGATGTTAATTTTCAAGTGCTTGTCGTCCTGAATATGCATGAAATATTTGCCATTGGACGTTAAGCAATCCACAATCAATCAATCGACTGTCTTTCTCTGCTTCTTAAAAAAACATTATGTAGAAACATTTCTTTGTGAAGAAAGACTATTCTCTAACGGTGAAATAATGTTACAAACAAAATAATTTATCACTATAAAGTATAGGTATTTAAATCCGTTTAAATGGTTTATAAACGGTATGTTCAAAGTAAGAATGTTGCTTTCAATGAAAAAAAAAGAAGAAAAAAGAAAAAGGAATTTTATTTACAATGTCAATTTTTTTGCATACCTCGATTGAAATGACTAAGTAGTCGAAAATGTTCATTTTAAAAAGAAGAGAAATGAAAATCACTTGTATAGTTGAGTGTCTGGATGGGGTTTAAATAACAGAGTATAATGGGCAAATACTGCAGAAAAATGGGCCCAAAAAACAAAGAAAGGAGAAAAATTGGGTCCTTAAAATAAAAAATAGGAAAAAGTGGGCTAATTCAAAATGATATGAAAAATGGCTTTAAAAATTACAGAATTGAAGGACCCCATCCAGACCCTCATGATGCATTTGTTTATACCTCCACACAAGAATCGAAACGAAAGTGTTTGCATCCAATTTTTAATCCAAATTTGCCCTTTTTTCAACTGCGTGAGATACTGTGTATTCCATAATCGTTGCCCTTTTTTCAACTGCTTGAAATACTGTGTATTCCATAATCGAAGGTCTTAAAACCAACTGTTCTCCTTTAAAACATTATACATCTTATCATTTCAATGATTTCGTTGACGTTGAATGCTGTTTTGTTCAGTACAAAGTTTTGTAACTGACCAGTATTCCAAAGTAAGTAACCTTTTGCGTTTCATGCTGTTATAGTATAAATGTTTGGCTGTTAAGCTTGCTCTTTGCCTTTTGCAGACAAACACTAACTATGCTTAGCGGTTTCACGCAGCTCAAAAGCCGCTATTAATGAGCAAAAGAAGACTTGCTTTGCATAGTGAATTTTTCAAAGAAAAATGTTTGTTGAAACACTTTTTCTGCTTTATATGTGCCTTGCATGAAAAGAGATTTACACATATGAAATTACTGATGTTTTAGTCGTCATATTTTGTTAGTATACAAGTGAACAATCCAGTCAACACATAAAAAACAAATCATTTTTCATGTCTAAAACATATTTATTATGTATTTACATATACATTTGTTTTTGACCGAGTGGACTAAGTAGAACTGTTTATCTACATTGACCATTATAAGCCTGTCAAACTGAGGTTTAGAGTTCGGAACCCGCAAGGTGTGTTCGACTACAATCATATTAAACAGGGATTGCCAATTTTCCCATCGGAAGGTCGTTTGTTTTTTCGGGTACCCAGGTTCTCTCAATAAAAAAAAATGGTCGCCATGATATAGCCAAAGTTGTTGAAAGTGGCGTTAAACAACACCAACAAACAATTTCTTTTTATTCCAGTGGGACTTTAAATTCCCCCTCGTTCTCGGTCGGTCCACCTTGCCGATTAATCAATCATTTACAAATAAAATACTTCAATAATACTACATGTATAAAAATGTGCATAATACAACCAGATAATTTCTGGATTCGTGCTGGCAGACATGTGATTATTGTGAGGACCGAAAGTTTAAATCCTAAGGCAAGGATGGAAAAATACTGCTTCCTTCTTTTCCTCGTCCGGGAGTAGGACCCATGCGTAGGAAATAATTTTGTTAGTGCGTGTGTATAAAAATACAAGCTACGTCAAATCGAAACGGGGTATTGAATACCAGGAGTGTTTTGTACGAGTCCGGGAGTATGTTAGGAAGGTTTAATATATTTCTCTTATACAACATCCTTATTTTTCAATGGCAACCATAACCTCAGGGCTGTCTTGTACGAACCTACCTCATTGATTCATGTATAATTATCTATTGTCCTTAATGTGTGTGAAATATTTGCCACTGGATATTATTCTGAATTTCAGTCATTATTGCATTATGGGAAAACACTGTTTTGCATTGACCTTATAAAACACTTTTGATAGTGGGAACATACGAAAGTCATCAATTTAAGTTGACGAAGAAAATGAAATGAACTAGGACGACCCCTCTCAGTTTATTTTCTTGAATTGTTAACATATCTCATTCAAATCACGTCAGCAGTTTCGTATTTTGTTCTGTGGCGAGATTTTAAACGCAGATAATATTCAAATGTGCAACCAAAATTTGATAAATAAAAATGATTACCTTCACAGATGTTTTATGGATACTGTTAGCAAAATGGTTTATAAGTGTAGCGAGAAATTTGAGTATATTTGTGAATAATTATATTGGGTGATTTATTTAAAACTATTTATTTTGTAGCCAATTACTGCATTCCAAAAGTTGTTTTTTAACAATTGTCAGCGAAAGCTATTAATTTTGTATACTTTCTGACGTTAAAAGTAAATAAGTTATGCACAATTGTTTATAAAGGCGAAACGTAAAGAAAATAGATGATGCAGAATCCATTGAAAGGAATGTAGACTAATTTATGATAGATGAAACTTATTTTCAATTTGTAAGAAGGGCTGACTGATTTAAAAATTTAGGGTGTGAATCGTTTGATATTAAAATATGCAACAATATTACACTCAAACCTCCCCCCCCCCAAAAAAAAAAAAAAAACGAAAAAAAAACAACAGATAAATTTATTTTGCAAAAGTGTTTCAGCATCTTTCAATTTTAACTGTTATTTCCTAACAGGGCAAATTCAGAGTCAAATTATTTATTAGTGCACATATCAAGCCAATTTGATCGTGTTTTTTTTCAAAATTAGAAGATCGACAGATAACAGAAAAACAAACCCCGCCTCACAATTGATTGGTGTTTTTTTTACAGAGAATAAATCGGGACATAATGGACTTGATTAAGAATTTCTCCCTTTCGGATTTTTCTTTCATTAATTGTTACGCTTTTTTACTTTCGTTTGGTTATAAACCTAGTTTATCAAAATGCAGTTAAAAGGAAACTACGGGAGAAAAAAGATGTTTAGAGCAAAGGAGTAGTATACACTAAAATATAATCGAACCTACCTACGGAAATATTGAGATATCGATCATGTTTATTTTAAGTTGGCAATTACGGTATAAAATTTGAATTGATGTAATATGTATAATATGTGTAAGCTTGTGTTACTACTGCTAGAAACGAAAATAAATCCTACTTAGAAAGTTTATTTGTGATTTTGTGCTTGTTTTATCATATTTGCAACCTAAATAATCGGAAGTCAACTGGATAGAAAGAAACTTTTTAATGTGTGACTGTAATTTGTCTTTAATATGAAATTTCATTAAAGTTTGATATTCATTTAAATCTATGATATTTCAAGATAAATATATTTTTTTTCCATAATGTATTTAGATCGTATTTCCTTACATTTGGAAATTACGTAATTTGTATCGTTTATATATTTTGCAGCACAAAACCTTTGTTCAGCCTGTAACCAAATTAATACATTCGAGAGCCTCATTCACAACTACTGTCGTTCTACTGTTGGTAAGTTTTGCATGATACAGGAAATCAGATAGCGATTCCAGCCAGATCTAAAATCATATAGTCTGTATACAGACTTTGAAGCACGCCTAGAGTTGTCTTCATCAGGAACTCTAACGAGTTTATAATTTCAAATATACATCTATATAGGATCCATTCACAGGGAAATGTTAATTGCTTTGCAACTACATGTATACTGATCAAACAAATAAACGCACCACTTCTCTGCGAATCTTTTTCCCAACTTTTTGAACTTAAGTTATGAATGTGTCTAGAATTGAAAATAAGTTAATGAATCATAAATCATTTGCTGGAATTCATAAAAAAAAAACATTTTTTCTTTGAAGCAGCTCTACAGATATCCGCTTGAAAAAAGAAAAATAAAAAACGCCGGGAGATCTAATATTTTTGAAACGTAATGTAATATGTACAAAAAAAATCCGTTTACTTACCGTTGTGTGTCAGTATAGCTGGAGGATGAATCACACCCCCGAGACTGTAAAATCTTAAGAAAATATGTTTGATATACTTCAACCTGGTTGGTCTCTCGCAGAAGTACTAGACACATAGAAATATGAGCCCCCTCATGGTGTGTCCAAGTAATCACAGGATCACAAATTTTATGCCAATATAATCACATAATCATTAATTATTTTTTAAACAAGATAATGAAATAATCAAAAATACAGTCCTAGATTATCAAATAATCAAATAATCATGAAATATTTGGTCTGGTAATCAAATAATCAATATAAAAACGGCCAAGTAATCACATAAACAAAAACCCCATGAGAAGGCTCAAATATTAAATCCTAATTCTTCGGGATGTGTGAACATTTTAGGCTCTTTGTCAAATTCTTTGGAACTGATGCCAGAAGTCTCTTAAAAAGTACAACAAAATACCAAACATTAGGGAAATCCAAAAAGGGGGAAAATCCGTTCAACAGAACGAATGGACAACAACTGTCATATTCCCTAACTTTGTACAGGCATTTTCCGAAGAAAATGTTGGGTTAAACCTGGTTTTATAGCTAGCTAAACCTCTCACTTTATATGACATCTAACAAACACGCCAACAAAAAATATTTTGTAATTGATAGTAAATTTGACAAAGATTCATATCCTTTAAACTGTAAACTGTTAATTTATTATGTCAATATAAATATAAGAAAATGTGGTATGATTGCCAACTCTCAACCAGACACTAAAATGACGTAGAAGCAACTATAAGTCACCATAAGGCCTTCAGCAATGAGCTAAACCCACGTATTCATGAATTATAAATGTAGAAATATCAAATCCTAATTTCAAAGATGATCTTTGAATTATAAATGTCACTTCGTTGTTCTTTTAATTTTTGGTCAGAAACGCTTTTTTATCTTTGTTTGGCAATGAAGTATCTTGGTATTGTCAGTTCTTTTTGAAAACTGACCTTCAATTTTTTCCAAAAAATTAATATTTTCAATGGTTAAGAAAAATCTTTGCTTCTTCGGTTAATTCTTCGATATTTCAGAATGTGATATTTTGGCACTTAAATGTTAAAATACATTACCTCTAAAACTTAAAATCTAAATCATTAATTAATTTTGAAAGATTTTATTCTGGTAAACTGTTACTAGAATAATTCAGTCGTTATATTCCATTAACTGGGCCCTGTTGTGTTAACTATCGTCACACTACCTTCGGGGCGGAGCTTTAGATGGGATGGCGGACCACTTTATATATTCCGTTCACTACGATCTCTACATAGATAGTAGGAGAGATCGACTGCACCCGAGGAAGTGGGCTGAATTATTCGGGTCATTCAATTTGAACAAAACAATAATGTTGGTAGTGTGTTTCTTTGAGTTTTCAGTATAACACGATAAGAAAAACATAAACCTGAAATTACCAGGAAAGACAAACAGTAGACGGAGCTGTTATATAATTGCCAACGTATAAAACATGCACACCAAAAATAACTTATTTATATACAAAACAAAAGACATAAGATTTTGGCGGTTGTCCGCCGCTTGAAACCAGATGACCCATTCACATTCTTCCGCGGTAAAAAAAAGCAACAAAACAAACAAGAGAAATATGACCTAAAACATTAAATTTACTGTACAAGTATTATACTCTAGCAGGAGTTTGATAAAAGGCGCGTTTCTTACTCAGATTTTTTTACGGGAATAATGCCTTCAAAGCGAACAATTTTAATGAAGAATTTTTTCTTTACAAATTTGTTTTTTGGCCTTATCGATAAATGAGATGAGAGTCCGGATAGAGATCCTTCATTTCTGTATTTGTTTTTCATTTTTAGTTCATTTTTCTCTATTTCCAGTATTTTTTAACCATTTTTTCTCTAGCTATTCTTTACATTTAACACCCATTATTCTCTAAATTTCACTCTTTTTTCTCTCTATTCTTTATTTTTTGGCCCATTTTACTCTTACCTTGGCCAGTCGCGGATCCAGGGAGGGGGGGTTCCGGGGGTTGGAACCCCCCTTTTTTGACGATCAATGCATTTGAATGGGGACATATAGTTGGAACCCCCCCTTTATCCTGGGTTAGGACCCCCTTTTATAAATGGCTGGATCCGCCCCTGTTGGCCCACTATTCTCAATTCTGCCAACCCAATCCAGACACTCATAAAGGGTATGATTATACTGTTGATGTGCAGTAATTGCGACTGGTATTTTTGGAACTGATATTGATAATCATATACCCGTAACACAAATCAAAATAATGTATATTCGATGTTACGACATAGTTTTGAATAATTGTCACTCAGATATATATATAGACAATCTTGAAAACCATACAAAAATTCCATCGAGGTAAGCGATAGCATAAGGGTTCCGGAAACTTTGAATCTATATATACTAGTCAACAAAAGAAACGATACAAGGCAATGTATTTTCCATATATACAATGGATTTGGATACACTGTACCAAGGCAAATAATTGCCCAATTGGTCTAATATATACAGAGTGTTATTTTCTTATCAAAACAATTGATTTAAGGCAAATACGCGATTTTTTTTTTGCAATTTTTGTTATTTCAAAAATCGTATTTTCACCCAAAAATTCAAAAATCGATATTAGAACTTAAAACTTTAAAAGTAAACATGGTCTGCTTAAAATTTTGAATGCCTTTGCAGATATTTGAATACTTAATTCTCATCTTCGAAATAAGTGTCGACTTTTGTCATCATTTTCCACAAAATAAATTTGATTCCTGTGTTCAATAACACGGTATTTTCTCACTTTCCAATTTGGTCAGATTCTTTTAATCATATGCATTTGCTTTGCAAATGAACGTTTTTCATTGGATAATTTAACAGTTTTTCCTATTTATTATATTTTATGATAAATTGGAGTTCAAACTTGTGTATCGTTACTTTTGTTGACTAGTATAGTTACTTTACATGCAGTATGTTTCATAATAAACTGTACATTTGATTGGCTGACAATAATCGATATATATGTAGTTATTCCAAAATAAGATTTTATTTCAGAATAAAATTTAATACTCCCGACAGCACGTGTTTTGTGTAAAAACAATGCATAGGAAAACACACAAACCAATGTGCTATAACTCGTAATATCACAGTTGATGCATAACCGCGCTTCATACAAAATGTGCTTCGGTCAACGCTTTTGTGCTCCAACAAAATTACAAAAAGAAGCATTCAAATCTTAAATATAACCTTCCTTTTTATATATTTTTTCGTAATTCATCTTTCTTATTTACCTCTTTCAGTAATTAAAGTGAAACTGAAGAAAGCAAGTATGAGAAAAGGTAATCTCGTGGTGTACATTAAAAAGAAGAAGAAGATGATCAAAGGAAATTTATCGAAAAAGGAAAAGAGGAAGTTAACCCCTATCATTGAAGATGGCGCTTCGTGCGATTGTGCATATTTAAGTTCAAATAGTACTTCAAAAAAGAGTTTTATAATAATGGGAAATATGACCGACGAAGGAGAACTTTCACTTATATTTATGTCAACTTGGGAAAGAAACAAGGGGTTCCGAAGAGCTATTCGAATGATGAAAAAGGGTTTATCATGTGACAGTGACATCATTGCGATATCAGATGGCTCGAAAACAGACAGTTCGTCTGGTGGGGGTAAGAAAAAGGGAAAAGATAAAAAGAAAGGAAAAGGACGGAAACGTAAAAATAAAGGACGAAAAAAAAACAAAAAGAAAAATAGAGGAAAGAAAAATAAAAACAAAAAAAGTAAAAAAGACAATAATGTGGCAAATCCTTGATCTCAGTTTGTGCTTAGAAATGATGACTGTCTTTCAATTGAATTTGCATCCTCCAGAGTCAGGAGTTCCAGTCCATGATCGCACCCACACAACTCACTCGTCTAACTTTGGCAGATTCCGTACTCGATCTTTAAAAGGAGTGCACCGGAATAACCCGATGTTAACTGATTGCCTCACAACACTGGAACAAAACGTTCCGAAAAATTACCCGCTCACTTGTTTGCATAAATATGTTTGCACAGCGATTATCTAAAATCAAAAGAACAGCATGACGAGGGGTCGATCTTGGCCTCTGAAACCCTTATTTTGGAGGATGGATTGGTCGTTAATCTGTGATAGTTTCAAAGAGATGTACATGTATCACGTGACATGTATATATATCTTTACAATGCCATGAATAGGAAGTCAGGACTGGGAATATATATAATTATATATATCTTCTTAGCATCCGTTTTAAACACATCTGACGGACATTTTTGTTTTGTGTGTTGTTTAAATGTTAAACACATGTTTAATTTGTTAATCTGAAACTTTATTTTCCATGACTTGTTGTTTATATATATTTTGGTATTAATTGTCTTATATCAATATGAATTGATTGTAAATAATCTCTTATCAACTTCGACGTATTGATATATTATGTGTTTAATATGTTTCAATCATATGTGCTTATTTTGTGTTTAGCCACATGTTTAAGTTGTACAGTTTGTTTTAATAACACTGTTTAATGATATATCTGTAATTTGAATTGAGAAAAATAGTGCGAATGAATTCGATTATCTCGGCTTTTACAACATTAGTTCAACAAAAAGAACAACTGAAAAGAAATTAGATAAGACATTTACTATTTGAACAGGGAGGGGACTAATGGTTATTGAGAACTCCAATGAGCATCTAGGACGGGATTTGTACTTCTTTTAAATAAGAGACATATATTTGACATCACAAAATCTATTCTTAGTTGTTATTTTTTTTTCATTTTTGGAAGAAAAAAATAACAGATATTTATTTTATAAATGAGAACTAATTCACTGGGCCGAATTTTGGCGACTAAAATTACACTTTATTGAAATTTTAATATTACATTTTTAAAAAGAAATTTTATACTAATATTCTCACCATAAACGTAAGTTATTGTGTTTGAAATACATTATTGTCCTATTAACCATAATGCATCATTTGTCGCGATTTTCCGCGCTTACCACAAGGAATTTTTAATATGTGGCATTTTTCATATATTATACTTTAAAGACAGAGATTTGATTCATAAAATGAGAAGTCTAGACCTTTCTTCCGATTAAATTTCTACGTTTCTTATTATCTGAATACACTGGTGATATTTCAATTAGTGAGAGCATTTGGGGTTATAATGAGCCAAACGTAACTTACAAATTGGCAATCAGTGTAATCTGGTTCCTCGTACTGGTTGCAACATTTGTGATGGTAATTTGATTTCACGCCCGGTAATCAAAGAAATAAATGAATTTTCCATTTGCTTGATGTAGGTAACTTAGGAATTAATGCACCGAAAGGAACTGTATATAATTGGTTCTTTGTCGATTTAACATGTCAGTTAGGTATTCCATAGATCAAACACGATTATTATAAATTTATAAGAAACTAATTAGCCTTTTTATCAATAAAGTTTTGGATACGACTGATGTTATTTACTTTAATGAGAGACGATCCAGTTCTCAATTCTGCCACTAGGGAACAGTACACACAACGGGTATCCCGATCCGATGGATCCGAATCCCGAAGAGAAATTACACGAGACCGCAAATAGTGGAAAAGTAAAGTCTGGATTAACCCGAATAATTAAGTCCCTCCCCGTAATCGATCTCTCCTACTTGCGAGGTTATGGTAGATCAGCGGAATATAACGACTGAATTATTCGGGTAAAGTCTGGATCCGATTCCCAGGGAGGATTATGCTCCGCGGGAATCAGTGGGTGAAGATTTTACTTTCCTGTCGTGTGCGGTCTGTTGAAATTGCACCTTGGGATTCTGATCCCTCCGCGGTGTTCGGATACTCGGTGTGGTACCGTGATGTAGCTTATACTGTTATTTGCCTCAATGCGATACGCAGTACCCGAGTAGATGGGGAGGGGATCGATGACAGAGTCGGTTTACTCAACTGTTCAAGGTGGTCAAAAGGAAAATGCACATGCATGTTCTCCAAGTTTTTCTTTATACAAAAATATATGCAAACCGATGATAAATTAAAAGTTATATGCTGCTCACGATATAAGTCCTTAAAAGTGTGGGTCAGTCCTCCCATGCTAGGCACTTTTAAAATATATCTTATTATTGCAGAGCTATGTATAGATGGCGTAGAAATGGATTAACATATAATTATCTATACATAGACCACACATATAGCAAGGCGGATACGGTTTACCAGGCACGATTATAGCAGAACTATGTATAGCTTTCCTACTACCACACTGGTATTGCGAAACGAATCGACCTCGAAGCTTATTTGAGCTCTGCCTCGAACTCTAACTCTTAGTTTCGTCACACATTTTGTACCGTCAAAGACCTACTAACCTGTTATCCAATAGACTATTTGCATATTACCGACGTTTGACACCGGATCATATAATTTTTCGACAGGTTATACCTACTCTATGGTAAGACATCTTGGTACTCTGTCATGTAATCTAGCAACCCAAACAAGAAAAATCAAACATATAATCTGTGCAATTTGGGGGGGGGGGGGGTAACTGTTTTCTAATGATTTGTTGTGTATAGAAAATATAAAACAATAAATTTTAACACCAAATTGTACCGATTGTAAGCTTCATTTTACTTCTTTTAGTTGCTCTTACTTGACCGAGTACCAGGATGTCCTACTCTACAGAAACGGTAACCTGTTGAAAAAAATATAAACACCTGAGACAAAAGTCGGTAATGTAAATAGTCTATTTCAATTTACTACTGTCTTCTTTAATGGTCATTTTTTTGTACTAGTAGCAACACTCCAGCCGCACGTACATAAGAAGTATGAATATATTTCCCAATTGATACGATATTAATTAGGTATTGCGTTTCCTGTCATGATTTCCTTGATACAGGGTTGCTGCTTACAAGAAAGCTATTGAAACAAGGATTATAATAGTTAGTCATCCCTTCGAAATTTTTACGGACGCATTCATGATTTGGTTGTTGTTTTGGAATATCAGTGTCACGGAAAAAATCAACAGCACACATAGCGGCGCGTGAACTGGTGTTGTTTATCAAGTCTGTTGTTTTTTTTTAAGTCGGTCTATGCTGAATCCTATAACAAACTTTCAAATGTTCAATTTTTCCTGTTTTATTGTTTTCCCCGATTGTGTCATGTTGCGGCCTTTTATAGCTTACTGTTAGGTATGGGTTTTGCTCATTGTTGACGGCCATACTTTAAATTGAATGGTAAAACCTCTGATTCAGAATATTTATTTTCCCCTCTGCTTGATCAAAATATTTATTTTTAATCAGACATATTTTTTTTAGAGAAAAACTATAACCCCCTCCATCAGAGACAAATTGGTAGTTCCCGTATTACAATTCACTAGTTTATATCATGAGTAACATGTAGGGTTGGTGCCAAAAAAAGTATTCGTGGTTTTGTAGAATTCTGTGTTAAAGGCTCTTATCCATTGAATGTTTAATACAAGACATGCATTTATTTGATGGTATTGTATGAAAAATTAAAACCGCCATTTCAAATATATCGTGTATGTTCTCCTTTTAGCAGAAGTAGCTTTTAATTCATCATTAAAAATTAGTCAGCATGTTTTGATATGTGATTATGCAAAACCGAATTGTCCTGAGACATTGGTGTTGTAATATTGAAAAGAGAATAATTTTATATGATCTACAAGTATCGGTTGATTTTGTAATGGGGAGTAAAATATTATATATATATATATATTTAATTGTCGAAATCCGGATATGGTGTATCAATTTTTGCACCTTATAGATATAAAAAGATGTGGTATGAGTGCCAATGAGACAACTCTCCATCCAAGTCAAAATTTATAAAAGTAAACCATTATGGGTCACAGTACGGTCTTCAACACGGAGCCTTGGCTCACACCGAACAGTAAGCTGTAAAGGGCCCCAAAAAATTACTAGTGTAAAACCATTCAAACGGGAAAACCAACGGTCTAATCTATATACGAAACGAGAAACACTTATGAACCACATCAACAAACGACAACTACTGAACATCAGATTTCTGACTTAGGACAGGTGCAAACAAATGCAGCGGGTTTAAACGTTTTAATGGTACCAAACCTTCACCCTTTTTCTGAAACAATAGTGTAACATCACAACATAGAAAGACACACTATAAAATATCAACTGAAATAGCTTAACTCAATCAAAGGACATATTAACACCATTGAACATACACTGAACAAATACATTTGACCTATAACAAAATGTAAATACAAAATAAATAAACTAAGGGAAGAATAATAAAAGTAACATATTATATCGGTAAGAAATGTTAAACAATTAAAGAAAAACAATATGCTCGAACAAAAATACCATCCATTTGCAATAACTTTAAACACAGGTAAATGAAAATAATTTTGTTGTTAGGTATACGTGTACAGTACCAATAGAGAAAGGAAATATTTTTACAAAATAGATAATTTAGAATACAAAATAAATAAACTAAGGGAAGAATAATAAAAGTAACATGTTATATAGGTAAGAAATGTTAAACAATAAAAGAAAAACAATATGCTCGAACAAAAATACCATCCATTTGCAATAACTTTAAACACAGGTAAATGAAAATAATTTTGTTGTTAGGTATAAGTGTACAGTACCAATAGAGAAAGGAAATACTTTTACAAAATAAATAATTTTGATGTTCATAGTACGAAGTAAAAATTAATAGTTATGCCAAACACTTATCAAAGCTGGTATATAGACCAGATATAACCCTGAATAACATTAAATAGCAAAAAAGCAATACAATTAGTATCAACAGGTCAAATAAACAAGAAAGTGCGATTTGAGAGTACTCGCAGTTACTGACAGCTAGTTAAAAGCCAAAACAATTAATAATAAAAAATCATGCATCAGAGACTAAAATCAACTAAAACACGTCCCAGGGATTTAGTATTTTAACGTCATGGACAGTCAAAGAAGACATGACTAGTGCAATGCCAAAAATAAATGTATCGACAGACATTAGGATAGTTAGGAGTTTAACCTCTTTATAGATCTAAACGAACGTGGGTGTGTCTTTATACATCCCACTTGAAAAAAATACAAATTTAGTTATGTTTTAATTTGCTGATGACAAAATCGATATTAGTGCCAATGTAAACTATATTCAAAGATCTAATTACAACATTGGTAAGATAACCTTTACTAATGAGCCTGTTTAAAGGTTCGATGAGTTTACACGGATCACATAGTGATTTCCGCGCTTTAAGTACAATATTACCGTAAAATTTAGGATGTGAAATATCGTTTTTAATCAGTTTTCTACAAGTACAGCCAAATTTACTAATCAAATCTTTGTATCTATGAAAGAACTTAGCAAAAGTTTTACGTAATTTATGGTAACGAAATCCTTGATTTAATAATTTACCAGTGATGCATTGATTACATTCGTTAAAATCTATGACATCACTACACACACGGGCATAACGAACGAGTTGGGATATATATACACCGTAGGATGGAGCCAAAGGAACATCGCCGTCTAAAAAAGGAAAATTAACAATAGGGAATGAAAAATATCTCTTTTGTCGTAAATTTTCGTATGGAGTTTTCCTTTAGAGATTGAAATGTCCAAATCCAGAAAAGGACAACTACTGCTGTTTATGTTAGATTTAGTTAAAGTAAGTTCTATTGGGTAAATTTCGGTAGTATATTTAGAGAACTCTGGATTATTTAACGAAAAAATATCATCTAGATAACGGAAGGTATTGTTGAATGTATCAACCTACATGTTTGCGGTATACCATATTTTCCGCAAGTTTATTGTTTTTTTCTGTTTGGTATTAGGTTAATAATTAAGATCCATTTTGTTACATCTGGTGATCCGTTTATTTGGCAATCGCCATGGCAGTCAGCAGGGTTTAAGAACATCTGTTGTTCGATCTGCTAGTCAAATGCGTTTTGTTAAAATATACTTTTTCACTTTTTTTGGTCTTTTGGAAAATGTTGTTTGTGCTGTATTTAGACCCCTCTACCAAGAAATTTGTTTTGCATGCAAACGTACAAAAATTGCGGTTTTTATCCAACGCAATCATAGGTTTGAACGTTGTTTTCAATTTAGACTTGTATATATGGAAATATACATAGTCGCTTAAGATGAGGATTTTCCCGTTAAAATCATTCTCAGGTGTTCAGAAGATATGAAGGATTATAGAGACTCGCTTGTTAATTCCCTATAGAAAAGGCACAGAAGCAATTATTACACGTATATATACTGTCTTGTAAATAAAACTGAGATACAATCTAAATCCATATCTATAGATCCATACATGTACGTGAGAAGTCCAGACACAAACCACTTGAAAGTAGCCATGTATCAGATTGGAGTAATTGATCGAATTAAAGATTAATGTTTTATTTTATTCCCTGTCAGCAAGTACATTTTATTCTCTGTCAGATACTAGTTTCTTTTATACCCTGTAAGCTATAC